TGTGAAGATGGACGTAGAGATTGAAGTTATACAAGCCAAGAGCCAAGGAAAGCCTGGAGCTCCCAGAAACTGGGAAAGGCAAGGAGGAATTCTCCCCTACAGCCTTCAGAGGGAATGTGACCCTGCTGACACCCTGATTTCAGACTTCTGGCTTCCAGAACTAAAAGAGAATGAATTTCTCTTGTTTTTTAGTTGAGGTATAATTGACATATAACTTTATATTAGTTTCTGGTGTATGATGTAATGATTCAATATTTGTATATATTGCAAAAGGGCCAGCACAGTAAGTCTAGTTAACGTCAGTCACCATACATAGTTATGAAATTTTTTTCTTATGATGAGAACTTTTAAGATTTACTCTCTTAGAAACTTTCAGATATGCAATACAGTATCATTAACTATAGTCACCATGCTGTACATTATGTCCTAATGACTTATTTATTTTATAACTGGAGATTTGTACCTTGTGAGCTCCTTCATCCATTTCAGCCCCCAGCCACCCCCAGCCCCTGCCTCTGGCAGTGAGCAATCTGTTCTCAGTATCTATGAGCTTGAGTTTCCGGATTTTTAAAAATTCCACACATAAATGAGATTGTATAGTATTTGTCTTTCTCTGTCTGACTTATTTCACTTTGCATAACACCCTCAGGGGTCTATCTATGTTGTCACAAATGGCAAAATGTCATTGTTTTTATTTTGGCTGAAGAATATTCCATTGTATAGATATATCACATCTCCTTTATCGATTCATCCATTCATGGACGCTTGGGTTGTTTCCTTTTCTTGGCTATTGTAAACAATGCTGCAGTGAACATAGGGGTGCAGATATGTTTTCAAGTTAGTATTTTTGTTTTCTTCAGATAAATACCCAGAAGCGGAATTACTGGATCATATGGTAATTCTATTGTTAATTTTTTGAGGAACCTCCATACTCTTTTCCATAGTGGCTGCACCAATTTACATTCCTACCAATAGTGCACAAGGATTCTCTTTTCTTCACATTCTCACCAGCACTTTTTATGTATTTTTGGATAATACCCATTCTAACAGGTGTGAAGTGATGTCTCCTTGTGGTTTTTATTTGCATTTCCCTGATGATTAGTGAGTTGAGCACGTTTTCATGTACCTGTTGTCCATCTATATGTGTTCTTTAGAAAAATGTCTATTTAGATCCTCCGCCTACTTTTTAATCAGATTGTTTGATTTTTTTCTATGGAGTTGTATGAGTTCTTTATATATTTTGGATATTAGATATATAATTTCCAAATAGTGTCTCACATTCCATAGGTTGTTTTTTCATTTTGTTGATGGTTTCCTTTGTTGTGCAGAAGCTTTTTAGTTTGATGTAGTCACCCTTGTTTAATTCTCCTTTTATTGCCTTTGCTTTGGGTGTCAGATCTGAAAAATCATTGCCAAGACCAATGTCAGGGAGCTTACCACCTATGTTTTCTGCTAGGAGTTTTACAGTTTCAGGCCTTACGTTCAAGTCTTTAATCCATTTTGAGTTGATTTTGTGTATGGTGTTAGATAGTGATCCAGTGTCAGTTTTGTCCAGTTTTCTCAACACCGTTCGTTGAAGAGATTGTCTTTTCCTCGTTGCATATTCTTGAGTCCTTATCGTCTGCTGTTTTAAGCCCCTAATTTGTGGTAATTTGTCAGGGCAGCCATGGGAAATGAACACACCTTCCTAGACCTGAGTGGGCCCAGAAAATATAACATAGTATACACATAGGCATACACTCAGATGCAAGCCTACATGTGTGCGGGCACACGCACACACACACATGAATACTTTTTCTCATCTGAAGTGGAAAATGGCACCTAATTTTTTAAAGTAGCGTTCCAGTTTTTCAAGACAGTTTGGTTTGTGCTGGAAGACAATTTTCCTTGGGTCTCCTGTGTTTCTGCACACTTTGTGAGCAAGTCATAGAATGTTCTTTTTTCCAGACTGTCTTTTCAAAGAAATTTGAATAGAAAACAGCCTTGGAAGACAGGCATAGTGTCTCCCCCTGTAGGAAGGAACAAGCACGTTAACCACTCATTAGCAAAGACTGGAGTTCCTAAGCGCAGGGTCCCTCGTCTATAATGCAGCCCTCTTTGTGTGCAGGTGTCTTCTAGCCCTCTTTATGTGGCCCTGTAATAACTGGGGCTTGAGCATCAGCACAATGGTGATACCCTGGCCACTGCATTTGCCATGAGTAATAAACTGTCCATCTCTGATCCAGGAGTCTCATATCTTCTACCAGTGTTCATAAAACTGTGGCAGGCTCACTTGTTAGCTTGAAAGTAGTGTAAACTCTTGACAATTTATTTTTCCATAGACTCCTTAATCTGTTTGACTGTCAAACATCTATCTCTTGTCTTTGTCTATCTTATGAGTTTATGACTAATACTTGTAACAGTCTGCCAGCCATCACTCCCCAGAGGGCCCATAATGTCTCATACTGGACATGTTCCAAAATTGAGCTCATAATTTTTCCTTCAAGTCCTTTTTACCCTCTTTGAATTGAAACCTCAGTTAACGTGATCACCATTTCACTGTCTAGTAGTATTTGACTCTTCCTTCTTCTGCTTCGTAAAATCTAGTGTTTCTCGTTAATTTTACTTCCAAAATTGCTTTCATATACTCCTATCCATACACCTGTGTCTGCGCTTGTGTTAATCTAGGTCCTCTGAGAAACAGATGCTAAGGTGGGATTAAACATATTAGAATTTTATTAGGGGAGATGCCTATGTGAGAGAAAGCAGTGAGAATTCTGGAAAGGCTATGAGCCATCAGGCCATGACACAAGATTGCCTGTGAGTGAAAGAAGGAAGATGGGGTGGGAGCAACCAAGAATGCCGTGCAGTCTGAGGCAAGCTGAGCAAGCTGTGGGGGATTCTCAAGTCTAAGACAACCCTCAGAGGATCCTCATGTCTCCCAGGAATGAGCCTGCCTTAGTATTCCTACTGAGATGTGCAGTGTTCCCAAAGGCAGTCTCCGAGAAGCATAGGTTGGCGTAAATGCCACAATGGTGGCCTAAGTCAATTACTTTCCCCTTATTTGGAGATCTGTAAAATGCTTTCTCCTGGTTGCCACAGCGCTCACGAAGGACTTTGTGTTTTAATAATAGTTTTAATCTTCAGCGTTATCCAGAAACTCCCTGTGCTAATCTGTCTTGAACTGTGTTGCAAGAATTAAGTTCCTAAAGTACAAATCTGACCATTCACTTCTTTGTAACAAACTATCAATATTTTCTTATTCCCAATCCTGTTCTTCAATGCCCCATTGAAAGCATGTGCCTTTCCCCAGCATTTCAAGCAAGAATATTCTGAACTCTGCTCTCAAATTCAGGCAATTGCGCATGGCAACAATTTTGGGTATTTTCCCTGATGTTTAGTGAGTTAAGCAAAACTTTATAAACTTTAGCGTTGGGGTCAGAGTCTCCTTGTGCTGTTTCCTCTGGCTGATTTTAGATTCTAATTGCAACACTTGCAACCAGAAGCCTCCTTTCTACGGCCCCAAGTTCCTCTACTCACCTTATCTTCCCGCCTTTCCTCTCAGGCTTTCTGATTTTGATGTGAAAATCTCTTCAGTGGCATGTCTGACAACTTAATTAGATCTGCAGACAGCTCTTGTGAAAACTCTCATCCTCCCAGGAGCCATGGATCTCACACTTACGGGGCTGGAGGCTTGAGCACATATGGAGGTTTGCTTACATTCTCGTGATTTTTGCCATAAATTAAATATTCCTCTAATAAACACCTGGTATTGTTCTCTTCGTGAATTTCCTGTGGGTCATACATTATAGATGTCTGTTCACTTTTATTATTTACAGCTTTTTTAAAAAAAAATAACGAAACAATATTTAAAAATTTTTCTGTGTTTAGAATTTTTTTCTTTTCTGGTATTTATTTTCATAGTTTCTATTTTCCCAAAATCTTAATTGTCCTCATTCTCAATTATTTAAAGAATTAAAAAACAGATATATTCAGTGATTTAAAATTTTGATTAAAATTTCATTAAGAATTAGAATCAACTAAATGCACGTGTCAATAACTTTGAAATTAAATTGTTGTATTTATATTTTCAGAATATTTTTACTAAAATATTCAAAATCATATATTGAAGTTAAAATAAATAATATAAATTGTAATTTAAGAATTAAATGAAATTAAATAAAAATTAAATAACAAAACAAATGTTTTATTTAATTTTTGGCATTTTAATTTAATCTTATTAAATATTTTCATAAAAATGAAACTCTTTACAATTCATTGAACATCATGTAGCCAAAGTAAAAAATGATACTACACTTCGTGATGGTCAATTTTATGTGTCAACTTGACTGAGCCATGAGGTGCTCAGATTTTGGTTCAACCTTATTCTGGCTGTTTCTGTGAGGCTGTTTTCCTATGAAATTATCATTTAAACTGGTAGACTGTGTAGAGCAGGTTGCCCTCTTCCTTGTGGGTGGGCCTCATCCAGTAAGTTTAAGACCTGAATAAAACAAAAAGGCTGACCGTCCCCCAGGTAAGTGAGCGTTCCTTCCTTCTGCCTGTTTGCCTTCTATCTGAGTCACTGGTTTTTTCCCACCTTTGGATTGTGACACATCGGCCCTCCTGGGCCTCCAGCTTGCCGCTCACCCTGCAGATCTTGGGACTGGACCTCATCCTTGATCTCATGGCGCTCTCTCGCTATATATATTCTTTTGGTTTTGTTTCTCTGAAGAACTCTAATGCCTGCTTCATGCACATTATATCTAAATTATAATACACAGACACAAGTTTAAGAAAAGAACAGAATGTTTAATATTGGGAAATTTTCCTCAAAGACCGCATGCCATTATTGTGACTACTGTGCTAACCTGTGAGTACCATGGTGTCACGAATTGGGGCACCAAGAAAAACAAGGAAGCAGATGCTTGACACTACTTCATTATGCAAGAATCTATTACATTCTTGCTATCTAAGAGGAAGGGTTTGACAAGTTAATTAATTTGTCTTTCCTCTTATCTAAGCACTTCCATCATACAAGTCCTCTCTGCAATGCAAAACAGTATTTGTCTTCAGCAATGCCAGCAACACTGTCTGCAAGCCTTCACGACATCAGCTGTGCTTGTGTTTTGTTATGAGGACTTACAGCAAGAGATATGGAGAAGCATCCTGTAGGATAGGACCTGAACAGCATAAGTCACACCAGCAGATGTGCAGAGTTTATGTGAGTACTACCTGGTGAATCCCAAGTGACACAACTGTTTGCGTGTGTGTGTGTGAGTGTGCATATATTTGTATGCCCATGATTTCTGAGGCCTTTAAACCTGATGGCTCTAAATCTGGGGTCCCTCTTGCCTAGATGTCATAATGGTAGTGATAGAATTAGCCCATAGGCTTACCAACTTTGTTGGAGTTTAAAAACATTAGGGCCAGACATTATGTTCTTCCTATATGACATAGACTGAATGTTTACGTCCCCCCAAAATTCACATGTTGAAATCTAATTCCCAATGTGATGGTATTTGGAGATGGGGTCTTTGGGAAGTGATTAGGTCATGAGAGCAGAATTAGTGTCCTTATAAAAGAGGCCCCAGAGAGCTCCCTCACCCCCTTCCACCATGTGAGGTTACAGTGAGAAGATTACCATTTATGAGCCAGGAAGCAGGCCCTTGATTTTGGACTTCCTAGCCTCTAGAACTGTGAGAAATACATTTCTGTTGTATATAAGTCACTAAGTCTATGGTATTATTATAGCATGCTGAACAGACTAAGATACTATAAAAGAGAAAATAGACCTACTTTAGGGCTGACACTGTGTTAATCTTGGGGCTTCAATGGTGAGCAATAGGTATGATTTCTCTTATTGGGGTCATTACAATCTATTGATGTATATACATGTTAAACAGATGATTACTCATAGCGTGTGTGCTAGGAACTATATAGCAAAGTTACAAGGTACGATGGATATTCTGATTGGTAGGGCATAGGTCACTGCTATGGTTGGGAAGGTGAGGTATGATTGTAACTGCAGGCCTTTCAGGACCAGTTCAACTGACCCCATCTCTTATGAACAGGGTTGATTAAGAATTGCCTTTCAGAAAATCTGCAAAGTCACTTAGCCAGGGTATGTGCAAAAGAAAAAATTGTGACCTGAAACGACCTTGGAACCAAATATCCTCCTTCCCATGGAAGCCAAAGACAGGAACATGACCGGAATTTGAAAGTCAGACTCTTATCAGAAGAAAGAGGGTCTCTCATTCAGGAAGATCCAGTGTTAAAACTCCCTCCCCACCTCATCAAAAATGTTTAGAACGCCATCATAAATGTTTAGAACCCTGTCATAAATGTCTAAAACCTTACTGTAAATGCTAGAATCCCACCAATCAAAACCTGTCCCACCAGCATTTCTGCATGCTGGCCTCTTCTCCCTAACCTCTTCGATTTTGCCCTAAATCTTGAATTAGAGAGACAAATCTGAGGTCACACACCCCCTGTCTCCCTGCAGATCAATCTCACAGAATTAAAGCTGATTTCTCCCCTGAAGTCTGATGCCAAAATCCATTGGCTTGTTTACACACATCAGGCTGAGAATCTCAATTTTGTGCAGTAACATGATGAAGGCTGGTTTCCACCAGACACATGTATTACCATTGAAGAAGGTGGTTTCCCAAAGTCAGAGGACTCTGTTTATATAAAGATGGTCCTCTACTATGAGAATCAACATTTAAGAACATTCCTGAACAATGAGTATGAGTTGGTCAGGGCTGGTGTCTTATATTTGAACTTTATTGCCACATAATTTATACTTGGAGCCATGAGAATGCATGAGGACCCTACTGACAAAGTACGGAGTGACTATCATTGAGAAGAGTGTCCAGAACGATTTTAGCATTTATCATCAGGCAAACAAAACTGAGACCCACTGGCCAGAAAACAAAGTTTGATTAGAATGCGTAAAGCAATTTCAGAGTGCCCTTGGCAGAGGCTGTACCCTTAATATGTTTAGTTGAATTATGAATCATGCTTCTGTAGCTCTCTAGACTTCCAAAGTGTCATTGTGCTCTGGGGACTGATTGTCCCGACAGATGTTTAACCAGGCCTCCAGGACAAAAAGAATTCAAACAAGTTAATGAAATCTTTATTATTAACTTGGGAAATTTTAGAACAAATTTCTGAGAGAGGACCAACAAATAAGTACATCAGCTAAAGGAATCCAACATCCTAACTATATCAATAATTTGGAAATGATGAGCCAAATATGACATTTAATATGTATTAACGTAGAGTTTGAATACTTGGGTTCAAGAAATAAGTAGCAAATCTAAGAGGACACACTAGCTCAGTAGCATCACATGCGATTTAGGGACTTAAATTTTCTGTAAGCTTAGTGTGAGCCAACAGTAAAAGATGGCTGCCCAACATGCTCGAACAATTTCAAAGTACTTTAACAGGAGCATAACCTCTAGAGTGAAGGAGGTAATATGTTTGATCTTTTGAGTTTTAGACAGGCAAGTAAAAGGTATGATGCTAAACCAGAAAACATTTAGAGGATAATTACAAGAAAGATGAGAGTACATAAAACGAGAGGATATTTATTCCATAAAGGAGAAAACTCAGTTGTCTTTATGTGAAAAATTTTCTTGAAAAACTAGGTTAGACTTGTTCTTTAGGTCCTGGCTTCCATTTAAATAAGGTTGTCAAGAAAGGAAAGTTGGGGCAAGTGACATTTTATCAGAGATGTGAGGAAAGTGATGAATTGGGCAGAATAAAGATCTGGGGGGAAATAAGTATAATGAGAAAACAGCCACTGTACAGCCTGAGGCAGGAATGAGAAAAAGGTTTGGAAAAATAGCAAGATTCTATACATACATACATGAGTTAAAAATAACATGGGTGTGCATACACACATGTACATTTAACTGTATGTGTGCTCTGAAAAATTGTTTCACCAAAGAGGAGTCTAGGGTCTTATGTTAAGGGTACACGCTCATGGTGGAAGAAAGACGACTCGAAGCATTTCAGCAATGATGTCCCTTTAAACTAATTAGTGCTGCTTTCCTAAAGGGTGGTTCAATGAGGGCAATTAATCCTTCAATTGTTTTTCTAGATTATATCATTGAAAATAAACAATACAACTTTATTTAGAGTTAGCGTTATAATGATTGTTTGAACATTATTCCCTATCCATTTAGGCAAAATTGTGATTCGATTTCATTTTCTATGTGAAATAGGAAGACTGAGAAAAAGAAAAAAAAGAATACAGTAAACAGTTGACCATTCAAAGGCAGATTATTGCAGTTTATCTGCAAATATTTCTCAAGTTTTTGGTTGACGTGCTTATCACCAACTTTGCAAAATTAACTCCTTTGTTTACACTGTCTTGCCTTCTCTGCTCTCAGGAGATTATTTCAGGATGATTTCCTTGTGTGGATTTCAATCAGACTTCTGGAGTCCCAAATTACCCTTTTCTTCATTATAATTTCATGAGGAGAGTCTTAAAGATCATATCAGATCCCTTCTCATGTGTGAGTACTGCTTTGAGTCTGATTAAATAAATGAAAAAATCATTTAAAATTTAGCAGATGAGCTCATAGAGGGAAAGAGAGAACAAAAGCAAGTCTGTGGTCCAACAAAACCTCTTGTTTTTCTACAACATAAATAGCTCCCTAAAGTCATAGGCCCTTTTACAAAGCGTATTCATATATACCAGTTTGATCTTCACAAAGAGATTTTGCTAGAATGGGTATCGTATATATTAATTTGATCAGGAAACAAATTCATAGATTTTCAGCAACTTTATCAAGTAAGTAGAAGAGTAAGAACCGGAACTACTGGTTTCTTCCTTCCAGCTCCAGGTTGTTTACACTTTCCTAGAAATGTTTTACTGAAAAACGGAATAAGCTAATCAATTAAGAACAGACAAGAGATTTTCACATATTGAGGTATGTAGGGTAACTATTCAGGTTCAAAACTGATTCGGCATGAACTCAAAAGCCTGACTTATGGCCTGTCAAACATACATTGTACATCTGCTTAACCATTAAAGAATGCCCTTTGTTAAGGTAAGAAAGCAGACTTCCCCTCCTACGCCCTGTTGGTAACACTCCATTAGTAAAGCTCAGATTAGTCCCTTTCTGGAAGTGGGCGTCATGTTAACCTACTAATTTGCAACTAAAGATCTCTTTGAAACTTTGATGAAAATCTATCCTAGGTGGTGTTTATTGGATGTTCCTTGTTCTAAAAAGATATAAGACTGTACTGAAAACCATGCTTCTCTGGAACACTTTCTAAGGCCTTCCTGGGTTGTAATCCTCGCTCTGGCTCAGGCAAAACTCACCTTATTTCTCTTATCCATACAATGATTATTGGCTATTTTTCATCAACAGAACAAAGAATGATCTAAGCAAACAGATATCAATTTCTACAACATTTGACGTTATAAACTTTCCCTACTTTTTGAAACCGTGTTCCCTTGGCTTCCCAGACCCTGGAATCCACTCAGTCTTCTTCTAATCCTTCTTTTGAATTCCTTTTGCTGATTTATCCTTTCGTGCTCTGACACTCAGGGTTCCATAGGATTTATTCTTGCTTCTCTTTGCAGCCTGCACACTCCTCCCTAAGGATCTCAAATTTCTATTTCCAGAATTCACCTGCCTTCCCAAGTTCCAGTCTATTCTGAGCAGATATATCATCGGTTGACGTAGGTGTGGTTTTGTAAGGATGGGAATTAGAGAAACCTGAAAATGTTTACAAAAACAATTTACTGGAATGCAAAAGAAGTCAGCTAAAAATAAGTAAAAGAAGCTTCAGCAGCATTGAGGAACAAACTTAACTTGTAATCTAAGGCTTTGTGGTGAAACCGATCGTTCCAAGAATTTTCAAAATTCCAGCATAAGAAGCTGAGAAAACTAACATGATTATCAAGGAGAAGGAGAAAGGATCTCAAGGATGGGGGTCCCTGTCACCTAAGTGGTCAGGACCAAAGAGCATCGTGATACAAGCCTGGGAGGAATGTAGAATTGTCTGTTACTTCACTGCTGTGACTCTGGCACCTATAATCACGCTAGCATACAGTAGTTGTTTAATCAGCATTTATATGAATGAATAAATAAATAGAAGCTGGAAGAACTATCGCTGACAATGCATGTGATGGATATTCTAGAAGAGTTTTTCATTAAGTTCCATATTCTTTAAAACATAGGCAGTTTTAAAAATGATTAGTTTGAGAATGAACCTGTCCAGTGTGTTATTCTTCCTTCCTTTAACTGAACATAATCATCAAATTCTATGACAATGTCAAAAACCCTGTATTTGGCAAGGGTAAATTTGAAAAGAATGTTGAATGATAAATAATGTGTGCTTTTACTTCTTGACCAAATAAGATTGGTATTGATTTTTTTGTGTGTTTAAAGCAAAATGTTTTATTCCTCTTTCGATTTATTCTTTCCAGCTCGTTTATTGTTGATGGAGAACAGTAAGTACCAACTATAATTTTGTTAGACCATGGATCTCTTGTTATCAGTGACAATTCTGAGAGTATCAGAGTGAAAATGAAGTGTGTTGAGAGGACCAGGTAATCGTTACGCCTAAGGGATATTCCGGTGCAATTTTTAGACAGCTTGCTTTAACGACTAAATGGTTTTATTTTTTTGTGTTGTACTTATTACTAATTAAAATTTTGATATTGGTGTTTTTGAGACACAAAAATATATTTGCTTCAGTGCAGTGTTATGATTGGCCTGCCTTGATCACACGCCTCTTCTCTAGTTAGGAAAAGGTGGGGAGTCTAATAGGCTCACTTGATTTTATCCAAAGGGAAAAGAAAAGATCCCCAGAGGATAGTGGGGACTGACAGAAAGAGAAAAACACTATTTTTTGGTCTGATTGTTTTATTAAATAACTGCCTTAATTCCATTTTTTACATGCGGCTAGAATTGCAGTTTCAGAGAACTAGGAAGCAAGAATTAAAGGAAGGGAATGGGGATCTTTAGCCAAAGACAAAAAGACTGAGAGGAGTTAGGGTTCATTCACTTTAGTGACATTGCTTAATGAAAATAAAACACAATATTTACACTGCAAGATCACAAATTTGTGTTTCTATAGTACTAACAAAATATAACTGGTATTTTGCAATATTAATTAGATAATAACTGAAACAAAAATTTGTCTACAATATTCAACAGTCTTCATTCAACATTGAAAACATGGTCACACATTTCACTTATCATTGGTTAAAGAAAATCCACACTCTCTTTTCTTTGTAAATTTAACTTTTCTGAAGACATACCCACAGATAATCAACTATGGCCTCCATATTACTAAAAACATTTACTTTCATTTCAACCAAACACTTTTTTGGGGAAAAAAGATTTTAATTTCCTCTATTTTTGAAGTCTCGTAGAAGGAGGACTTCGAACTCAGTGGCAACCAGGGTGGAGGTTGAAAGGAAAAGTGGGCCAACATTCAGAAACAATTCTGTCCTATTCTATTTCCTTAGGCCAGTAGAACCATAGCAACAAATAATTTTTGAGTTATACAAATCCCTGAGCTAATCCTTTATTAATGTGCTCGTCTAATTAGCTCTATAAATAGTATATGAATGAATGAATGAAAATTAAATTAATAAGTGCATAAACTAAAACAAAATAATAGCCTTTATAGAATAAACAATTATTGCTTCACTGAGGGAAAACATTAATACATATGAATTGCTTTTAGAAAAACTTTTCACACCGCTTACTCTCTTTTGAAATTTACTTAAATGCTTTTTATTTATAACTATATATTTTGACTTATAGAAAGTAATATAACCAGCGATAGACTGCAAAATTGGTCCCAAACTCTTCCCTTCCCATCAAGAGGTAGATTTTCTGCCCTTGCTTCTGGCTGCTATGCAGCCTTCTTGGACCAATCAGACATTAGCAGGCGTGTCATAAGTAGAGGCTTGAAAAATGCTTATAAATTGGTGTTTACTCTTTTTGACTCTTGGAACTCTCCCTGCGTTCTGTAAAAAACCCTTAGATAGCCTGATAGGGAATGAGTGATTCCACGCAGCAGAGAGACAAGCAGTCCCAGCTGAGTTCCCTGTCCATCTACCCACCAACCTGCCCTCAGCTGGCCTGGCAGCTAATTGCAGGTCCAAGTGTAATACCAGGTGAACCAGAAGAACTGCCCAGCTGAGGCAAATAGTCATTGTTTTAATCCATCAAGTTTGGAGTAGTTTGTTACACAGCACTAGATAACTCACACAGAAATTGGTATTTAGAAGCAGAGTGTTCCCATAACAGAAAATTTGTATTATTGGAGGGCAAGTAGAAAATTATTAAAGATGCTGTTTGCAAAGGCTGGAAAAATGTTAAGTAAACTTTGTGGAGGCTGGAAAGATGGCAAGAAAATGGATATGGCATACTGGAAAAAAAAAGATCATTCATGTGTGTGGTGAGACAACTGGCTAAGCTGTCAACTGTAATAACTTGGAGATAGAAATGGACTAATGAGCTTGTGTCATTGGCAAGGTGATCTCCAAACAGAATGCTGAAGTGTCCATTGCTTTCTTTTAGCTGCCTCTGATAAATAATTCCAGGAAGAAAGAGACAAATTAAAGAAAGAATGGTTCAGTTTACAAGAAGAATTCAGAGGGAATATAAATGGACCAGGATGTGAGGATCTGGAAAATGAAACTGTTTGTCTTTAGCCAAGGACAGAACTTAAAATAAATAAAAACCTGGAAGATGAAATCCAAAGCATTGCCAATAAAACTTGGCATCACGGTCATAATGATTAAAGAGAGTCATGGCATCAGATCAAATCAAGGATATGGCCTTAAAACTGTTTGTTAAGACCTCTAAAGATTTAAGGAGACTGATGTATCCAAAATAGAGAAAAGCCTGTGTGGAAAACAAATGGGGATGTAATTTTTATCAAATGTAATGGCCTATTATCTGATACAAGGGAGTTGTATCAGTAAAAGGGTCCCAGCTTGAAATAAAGAGACTGAGAAAATTACATAAAATCCTCTGGGCCTTTCATTTTCTATGGATGGGAAACAGGCTAAGAAATCTACTTAGCTTTTCTTGTAGAAAAGGAAGAACTTCTCTGAGGGTGGAGCCAAGAGCCTAGAGTGTGGAGTTAAGAGCTACGAAGAACAAGAAAATGGATAAAGGAGTCATTCTCATGATGAGGTGGATGAGAAAATGTGCTGCTCAGATTTTGTGTACTGGAAAGCATAAATGAGTGATGCCCGCTACCTACCTGGTCCCACCACCGTATTGAGCCACTTCCTATAGGCCGCTCTGAGGCAATGACTGACCATAATGGGAGTACGAATGCTGACCCATGCCTGCAGAATAAGAAATGCCTTTAATAACTTTGGCTCGAGAACTCTCCGTCTGCCTCATTGAAAATTTTTAAAAACTCTACTGCAGTCTGAGGCTCCAAGTCCTCAGCTTTCTTCCTTGGCCCTCTCTATCATAGGTGGTCTGAAATCTTGCTCTACCTTCTCTGGCTCTGCCCCTTCATCCTTCATCAATAAATCTCTTGCTCATCTAACACATCTTGGTGTCTGCTTTTGGAGAACCCAAACTGTCATAGGGACATTCTCTGGTCATTTTCTGTAGAACATGACCCCATCATTCTCCAGTTGCCTTAGCCCAGCTTCATTTTTCTCGTTAACCTATCATCTCATTCCTGTTTATTTCTCTCTTCCCTCAATAGAATGTAAGATCCTTGAAGATGGAGAATTTATTTCTTTAGTTTCTATAATGCAGCCTCTGTACAAGTACCTTTCATATGGTTGGCTATAAATATCTGTTGAATGAGTAAATGTATGAAGAAAGAGGCCCGAAGCAGCTGTGGAGGAGGCCGATATTGAAATTCAGGAATAAGGATATTAGGTTCCATGTTGCTAAACAGCCCTGTTGCTAAATGATGGAAAACATTTCAAGCATATCACAAGAATCTTTGGTTAACTGATAATGGTTGAAGTAATAATTTAAAACTTTGAGTTGTTAAATTACTTTTTAAACTCTTCAGCACTGCTAGGAGCAGCCTGCACACAAAGAACTCTGGTATTTTTGATACCCATTAAACTGCTGTAAGTAGTAATCAGCGAACCCCTGAACGCTTACTTTAATACACACCTTATTCCCCCACAGTGATAAGTCAATGTTTGTCACTATGTGCCGTGGAATTCCAACATCCCTCCTCGAATGCTAATCAATTCTTTACTGACTTCAAACTCATCAGATGAGATGACCAATTTCAAATTCCCATTTTTTTTGAGTGCTAGATGCCTCAAACTACCTCTGAAGTCAGTTGGTATAGTGGTTATTATCCTTACTCTAAGTCAATAGACTCCACTCTCACAGGTTAGGGGGAAAGTATTTATTAAGAAGTATTAATAAACTCCCAGTCGTTGCTCTCAGACTACACCACAGAACCAGAGGGTTAGCAACTAATGCTGCTGAACCCGCTGCCACAGTCACGATTAGGAATGGGCCATCACAATTATTTATTTTATTCTTTTAGCTTTTAAATTGTTTTGTTACTAAAAAAACCTTCATTTTTTTTTTTTTTTTTTTTTTTGTTTTCTGACTTTGTGCTGTGCCTTCAACACTTTCACAATGATTTTCCCACTCCTCAGCAAGGCAAGTTCACTTGATCCTATCGCGGACATATTTAGCACACATGGAACCACCCGTAGCCCTGATAACATGGTTTTTCACTTTAGATAACCTCATAAGAACTTTAGGTCTTACAGCATGAGTCCCTTGAAGTCAGCCTGGGCACATGGCATATGCAGATTTTGGTGTCTTCCTAAGCATCTTGGTACAAAGATATACAGTTCTATTACCAGGGGCTCAGGACAGCCTAGTTTTGTTAGAGGCTGTATTTTAGGGTAGCTTATGATGGTATGTGAAACCCTGGATGTTCAGAATGCCTCTAGACACATCCTGGAAAAGCAAAGGGCCACCATTATTGCCAGCCCCATAAATTCACTGCCTCGCCCCTGTGTGCTCCAGCTATTTGGGTGCCCTAGTTCTGGCTGATTTTCTGACATGACTTACTTGTGAATCAAATTCACATGCAGGCACATTAAATTGGCAGAACCTGATTCACATATCTTCAAGCTAATGGGAAAAGTAATTGGGAATATAGGGTTTCAATTTGGGAAAGTGAGATTCACAATGCAGGGAGGTATTGAAATATACAAAGAGTGCTTGATAGCTTTTAGACAGCTGCTAGTGACAGATTTCCACTGAAATTAATATCTAATTTATAATGATATAATAGCAATACCTATAAAAAGCTTACTTTGTACAAATTTGTTTTATGCATTCTACATATATTAATTCATTTTATCATCACATCACTCCTGGGTGATTTATACTGTTATTTACCCTATTGTATGGATCAAGAAACTGAAGCATTGACATGTTAAATGACGTGCCAAAGGTCACAGTGATTGCACAGGGCAGAGCTGAGATTCAGATGCAGGTAGTGGTTCAGGAGTCCACATTCTCACTTTTTACCAGTGTACACATAGGCTTTCACATATGTGGATATAAAGTGCATCGGCAGATCAATGTGGAATCGGCTTTCACATATGTGGATATAAAGTGAATCAGCAAATCAGTGTGGAATAGGCAAAAAAGAAAAAGAAAGCAAAAGGGGTAGACTATATGAAGAGTGTCGGGGAAGTGGGAGAATCCCCCACCGACTTTTCCTTAAGATTCTTATGGCTGGTCAAATAATTAAAAAGGTAGATTAGCAGGAGAAAATTAAACCAAGTTTAATAGCATGTATACATGGGAGAAACTCAAAAGAAACCGAGTAACTCAGCCATCTGGCCGAGGCCGCCTCTTTAAATATCTTCAGCTATAGACAAGGAAGACATTGCGGGTAGTGATTTGGGGCTTCAAAGGGGTGGAAGTCAACTCACATGGAAATGGAAAAGCAAATGTTTGGTAAACAGAACTTTGCTAAGAGTGGGCTTAGCAAGGATCCTTCCAGTCTACCTGAACCCAAAATGATCTACGGTGATGGCCTGTCCTGGGGACAAGCCTTTGTTTTAAATTTCTTTTAGGCAGTTGGGGGGAAAGGTCGAATGTTCTTCCTGAGTCTTCTGAGCCTTTATTGTCTTCAGCTCGAAATAATCCCTATACCTGAGAAGTGCATCTTGGGGCAGCCTGCCCTGAACCCCATCAATAGGAAAATCACAGGAAATGAGCAGTGATGGTTAATAAAATGGATATTAACTATACAATTATTTCATATTTCTTTGGGCCCAATACTCACACACATTACCTGGATAAATCATATTTACCTTAAAGAATTGCCTTAGACATCAGTTTCTCAAAGTTCATTTACTGGTTCTTCAAATACATAGTTCAAATCCCCTTCAAGCTGCCCCATACTACTAACCGTCAGAACAGTTCCAGTCCTGAGTTGTAATTGTTTAGTTTCTGGGTGTCAGCATCATGAGGACACACGCATTGTCTGACACACCCTCAATGATATACTTAGCATTCGTCACACAGTAGCCACTCAATGAAAATTGTTAAATGTAATCACACGTCTGCTATTAACTCTTCAAGGATTATTGAAAAATTCTAGGCACCTGTTCCTTTAGAAATTTCTAATATATACTAAAAAAAAGTAAAATACCTTCTCCACACTAGAACATGCTCTAATCTCCTTACTTAGAGTTTTACTCCTGTAACATATGTTAGCATATTTATTAAACCAACAGAGACTGAAGTCTTTTCAAAGGAGGTTAAGAAAATACTACAAATTGTAATGATTCCTGAACAAAGCAGAAGATAACGAAATCTTACCAGATAGAAATCCATCCACCTAGTGGATTAAAATAACAAGATGAAAAGGAAGAAAATAAAAGAAAAAGAAAAAATATTCAAAGGGCTCTGACTTTCCTATATAAGAACAGCTATCCTTGGAAGATTAAATCTACCTTTGAAAGAAGTGATTTAAAATCAGTCTCAATTAAGTGAAGTTGCACTTGCTGTGATTTCCTTTCTCTAAAATTTCTTATATTAACTTCTCTATTTGATTTGACTGTGTGCTTTGCATATGAATATATTCACGTGTTAAACTGTCTGAATTAATTTAAGTTTGATTTATTGTGCTTAACATTAACAGTCTGTTTTGACAATTGAAAAAAAAAAGCGTCTTAAAAAATTGAAGACCAAAGGACATGAAAATTTTTACATCAGGAAGAAATATGTTTTATTGGCTATACGATAGCATTAAAATTGCACAGATAAAACAATTCTTGCAGAACTTTTCATTGTAATTTATATGAGAAACAAGCAAGGGTGAGAATTTAGGACCAGAGAACAATCATAACAGTGTTGTAGATGATAATGAGGAATATGCTTTTGATTCTAGAACACTATCTGCCTGCTTTTGAGAAGAACTTGCATGTATTTGTGTTTTTGAGAAAGCACAGTTGAATTTTCCCCGAACCATTTAATAAACAAGACCAAGGGCCCCAGCAAATACCATTGGAAATGTTGCTATTGGGGGATATATGAGCATAACTGCAGGGCGTCTGTGTTCCTAAGCTGAAGCCCGGGATGAAGCTCATTATTCCCCAGCCATACAGCCGGTCGGGGCTCCCTCCAGAGTCCTTCTCCCAAGGAGCAGACAGGAATCTGGTGCTCTCTGGGCAGCTTCTCTTGAGAAAAGGAGGAGAGCAAAACGGAAGATTGACTTATCTCAGGAGTTCCCTTCCTCAACTTTCTGATTCTGTAATTCTCTCCTTCCACTTCCTGTCTAAGAGGAGGAGTATGTTAGGATACAACAAGCTCCAGAGCAGCACATTCTATCAGGAAGGTGAAAAAGAGTTACTCTCCAACAGCGCAGATCTACCCCGTAGTACTGCAGCACATTAGGGCCTGCAAGGTTAGCACAGAGCCCCATCTGAGAAATGCCACGTGTTTGTGAGAAAGATGTTCGGAATCCAAGTTGGAGCCTGAAACTATTGG